TTCCTTACATCGCAAGGACATGTGGACATGCAACACCCTGGTAGATCTTCTGCTCTCTCTGATGCTGAGCGCCGAAGCACCAGCACCACCACCACCACCACCGCCACCACCACCACCACCACCACCACCACCAATTTTCGGGCTTCAGTTCTGTTTTCAACAGTGAACCTCAGGTCATCAAGACTTGAAGAGGTGGAACAGGAGAAAGCCGATCTGCTGAGGCCCAGGGGCTTGGGTTTCGGGATGCCATGGTAATGTGTTTTACCTACTAATTTAGGGGATAAAGATTATTAAGCTGTATAGGTAGTTGGGGTTACAGCTCGTGGTCATACTAAGATGCTAGTGACTAGTGCTCACACTAGGACGTCAAGGTTATCGTCCACCAAATGCACCTGTTCTTTTCCATGTTCGTAGATAAAGAGCAAAATTAATTGATGCCTCGTCAGAGCAACATGCAGTATAAGTCTGTTTGAGCATTGAATTGGCTCTTGTCTATTCATACCCTTGGCTATATGTAATCTATGTAATCCCTGTATACCAGTCGACGTGGATTTTTGGACAGCTTCCGGAGGCGACTGGTAGTACATCCATAGGTCCTCCAGCCCACGTCCATGCATTTCATTCCTTGCAGTAGAGTCTATAGAGCCTAGAGTCTAGGGCTTCCTGAAGGGGTTACGGGTATATAGGAACTGTTGAGGGTTTTTGAGATGGATTTGGCTGAAGTGGTGGTTCTGTAGGACATGTCTTGTGGACTTTCACCATGAACCTCAGGGAGTCTCAGCTACAGTAGATAGTACGACAGGGATGCGGAGAAGAAGGACAAGACGGATGAGGCCGTCAAGAAGCTGAAGGCGGGAAAACAGACTTACGTGGCTCATGAAAAAGTGCTAAGCCCAAGCTTGTTGATCATTCGGGCGCCTGGGGCCCGTTTTGATGGGCCTGTCACCTTTTTGAAAGCGGGATCCGTGTCGGATTTAAAAACTTAGGACTGCACATGAAGTCCAGAGCAAGCCTATTTGAATGGAGTTCGGAGTTTGGGTTTACTGCAAGCTTTCGGAGAAGGTGCTGCGGCCTCATACCTATGAGGGTCCGACTCAGTGGTGTGCCTTACGTCGATTTCTTAGTCCAAGTGGTGGGTCCTTTGCTTCAATTCTTGGACGTCAAATTAGAATAACAGCACAGAAGCGAGGAGTCAAGCATCACAATTGAAAAAGTATTCCAAGCTTATTGGATGAAGCATGGTGACATTGCAATCTACGCGGAGTGAGTTTGATATGACAACGATAGCACGCTTATCACCTTTGCACTGACCATGAGCCTGGACAGTGGCTTTAGTAGGGGACCCTATAAACGAAGGGGTTTAGGGGCCAACCCAGTTCACGGGGGCAGGTAACCCCCTGATCATCCCCAGCAACCCCTCGCGGCTCTCGAGTTCTCTAAGTACCTCCTCCCTTCAAACATCCACTTTAAGACCCTGAGCCTTTCACCCTGAGTATTACAGACTTATGGCGACTCTGAGCCCTAACCCCTGAGACCTAAAAGTTATAATCCCCCTTAAGTAGATAGAATATGGCTTTTCTTCTCCATTATCCCACTATAACCCCTTATATAACCCCTATATCTACTTACCCTTATATAACCCCTATACCTATATCTACTTTATAACCCCTTCTGAAACCCCATATTCTATCTACTTAAGGGGGGCTATAACCCTAAACGAGGACACCGTGATCATCCTCAGGAACTCCCTGAGCTCCAAAGAGGAACCCGGGGGTTGCAAAGGTGTTGGTTCCTGACTACCCATAAGGCAAGGAACATGTGAGTAGCATTTTATTTGGGGATATTAGGGTACCCCATATAGAGTAAGATTATATTCCCCTTTTGGGTATAGTATTTTAAATATGTGTAGATTAAAGGGGCCTCCGCCAAATATGTATTCATTCTAGGACTCCCTCCAAATTTGATGTTGAGATTGCAAGTTTTTGAGTCAATTATGGTTGGCTGTTGTGTGCCCCTGCGGTGATAAAGTGCCTTGTCAGTCTGGGTTGCTGTTACGGGACAGCATCTGCGTTATCATAATATAGTTCCATACTAACAAAACAGAGCCTCCGTATCATGAGACTAAACTAATTGAGGTTCCTTCGCGGCAACCCAGGTTGAATCGTTCTTTTTCTTTGCTTTCATGCATTCCATGGCAGCTGGAGATCTCAGTTGCAAAATGCGCAGTTTGAAGTGTTCTGTCTGCCAGGTTTTGTCAGGATTGTTGAGGCATGCTCAAAAAAAACTGACAAGCATCAAGCGTGGCAGGGTGCTTGGCTTGACCAAATCTGTCTACATTCAAAACGACCGGGCGTAAACGATTGTTGGACTTTGTTTTCGCGGTTGTGCAGTATGTGCGTGTAAGGACTAGGTCATCCCATTGTTGGGGAAGGCATAAACAGGCCTGGTGAGGCCCCATTACCTTTGTGCGAAGCCCGTGTTGATGCCAAGATCTTCCGGCACCATCAAGCTTACCCATGAAAATCAGGAAGAGATCACAACCAAGGGCGCGCAGGTCGTGGAAACCATGCGCCACGGACAGGTTTACTCCAACTTCAGGTTTTGTGGGCGCTTCAAGGTCCAATTCAGAGCTTGGGGCTCCGGGTCATGCTTGGGGTACCGATCGCGCTCGGCATGAATGAGTGCATAGCAGTGCCAGCATGGCTAAAACTGCAGGTGCCGATGTTGGTGGCAGAAGGTCCTTTTGTATCCACTGAAGCCGCTTATATAGTCTGATAACGCGGTTTACATTCCAGAACAACATTAAGAAGGTAAACCCTATGCTCTAAGCCCCTCCTATCTTAGAAGACGGCGGCCTTTGTCGCCAAGGCCCGATAAAAAAACACCCTCCCATCAAGCGTGCCAGGGCATGCCTGAAGGCCGTGGAACAAGAAAACAGGCGCCTCCAGGCAGAATTGGAGGCGGCCCCTTTCATAGGCTACCCTTTCTCACCTTAATGACCTGAAGTAGGGAGAACCTAGGGGTTAGAATGGGATTGTGTGATAAGACAACCTATGGTGATTTTCAATGTCAGCTGCTCTCATGTTCTTTCCATCTTTTCTTGTTCCGCAGGGCTTATCTTGTACCGCGGTGAAGAAAGCATCTAGAACCTGATATTCAGGATCAGGGCTGTGGCAAGGCTCTAGACATGCAAGGGCCGAGGGGTCAATAGAGCAGCCTGATCCTTGGTGTCATGGTAGTTGTTGCAATCCGCAAGGCACGGCGCTGTACTTGCAATTCAATCCCTCATTCAGGGTCTTCTTCCGTGTCTGTTCAGACTTTGTGTGCAAGCCATGGCAGGATTCCGGGTGATGTGTTTGGGATTAATTTTGCACTTTCCTGGTAGGCCACAGTACTTGGCCGGAACCTTGTAAACCGTGGAGAGGAAGCCCGACCATCAAGCCAGTACTGATCAATGTCGGAACTTCATGCAATATAACCCCAATAAATATAACAATACTATACAATACTAATAATAACAACAATAACAATCATAATAACAATACGAGATGTTTGCTCTCAACAAGATGCCATCTGGTGTTCTTGACAAGCCCCATGTTAAGGGGAATGAGCCCCACGAAGCACTTGCAACACCGTTTGAATCCTGATGCAGCCTAAGATACCCCACATAAACCCTGTGCATGGTCCCATGTTGCCCTATCTCATCCTTAAAGCGCTTCCATAAGCCACAGGATTACAGGGGTTACAGGGATATTCCCCCCGTAATGGAGAATCAAATGGAGAACATGCAAAATGAAATGGCTATGAAGGTCTATAGAGTTTTTTCTTGGGGTTCATAAGGGTTCAGGGTTTATATGCACAGAAATATTCCTATCCACATTTCACATTCCCCAGTCCCAGCTATGCAGGAGCCGGATAGGGTCGCGTTCGCGTAGCGACTTGGGAGTCCCTCAAAAAAGATTCCCTGCTAAGAGTGTTTAGGATTTAGGTTTTAGGATTTAGGGTTTAGGGTTTAGGTTTTGAGAATCCCCACATATCCTGAGGATCCCTGGATACAACCCCAGTTACCTACACTCATTTATTAGAAGTTACTCCCGAATTAATTGCTAGGCTAGGTATAACCCCAAAAAATCTGTAGGTAATGGAGCTACAGAAGGGTACCCAATGTTGCGACCCAAAACACAAAACCTGGAGGCCGCCGCGACTGAAAAGATCAAGCTTCAGCAAGCAAGCATGTCTGCTCGAGAGGAGGCCGGCTTTCCTTAGTAACTCGAGGGGGTACTTGGGATAGGAAGGTAGTTGCCAATCCGCGAAAAACTGTGGAGTTTAAGTTTATAAGAGTAGATTGATCATCGTATCCTTTCGGTACTATTTAGGTGAGGGGCTTAGTGGTCAGGGTTTAGGATCTGGGCTGTGGGGCCGTAATTTTTCAACTTGGGATCCTCGAGATGAAGCTCTCAGTAATGTAGACCTTAGGAGGTTTAGGGTTTAGGGTACCCCCCACCCTGTAATAGTGGTATAATAGGAATATACGAGGACCCTCATATAATCCATATTATCCCTTATAGTCACTATTGCTGGGTGGGGGGTCCACCTAATGTAGACCCCTGATTAATAAACCCCCTCTTCTTAAGGGATCAAATATTTGGATCCCTATTATAATCCCTATTAAGGGGAGGGGGTTTACTAATCATGGGTCTACATTAAGTGGACCCCCCACCCAGTAATAGTGACTATAAGGGATAATATGGATTATATTCATGACACAGGATTTGCCAGTACCGACAACCCCCAATCTCAGATGTTCACATCGCATGCCCTTCATAGGCCCGAGACTCACAGATTGGGCTCCACTCGCAGGGGCCAGCCGTAAGTCCATGTGAGCCATAGTCTAAACTCCTTAAATGGGGGGTATATAGGGGATTATATAGATTATATAGGGCAATACTATAAGGGCTATGAAGGGGGATACCAGGAGTTTGGACAGTAGGTCATGTAGAAGGATCAGCAGACGCGTGTTTTTCAATCCGCCCTAAACCCTACAGCCAGAACGATCACGAGACCCTTCAAGCCTGAAATCGTTGCCGCGGCACTGGACATTGCGCACACGGTGCGGCTTGCACTACCACCCTAACCCTGCGGAGCCCAATGCTGGTGATTCAATCGTATCAGAATCCTTGTATCACTTAATGTACATGGGGGTTTCCATGAACATGGGGCGACCAAAGGCCGACCCCCGACTTTTGGAATCCACTACAGAGATCGTTAGCTAGGACATGCGAATATATTTTCATATAAGCCATTGGCTAAACTCCTAGTATCCCCCTGAATAACCCCTATAGTAGTAACCAAACCCCCAAACCCCCAAACCCCCAAATCCCCTATATAACCTCCTTGAAGGATAGCTCATACATACATATATCTGTATATATATATATGTATGGCAAAGTCGAAAACTTAGGCATCCCTTTTTGGACCTGCCCAATAGTAAGGATTCCAATATTTTGAGGTCTACATGGGGGTCCCCCGATTTATGGGAACTGCCAAACAATGCTTGGGCTCTTTGGGACGATCAGGTTGAGATGCTGAAGGCTGAGATGCAGAAGAAGGCCAATTGGTAGCTTTGGTCCTTGGAACCTGCTATACACTCCCTCCCAAGGGGCTATAGGAGGTTGTTTAAAGGATTTTGGGGGTTGCAGGTTAGGGCAAGGATGATGAATCAAGTGGAGAAGAACATGGAACATTAATTAGAAGCTAGGCTTATGTGTTGATTGATGGGGTTAAGGTATCCCAAAATTAGGTGCGCCCAATAATCAGGAAATCATATAGTGGGATCCAGATTTGGGCCCGCGTTTCTTGACACCCCTGATATTCCTGCCCTCTTGTCTGAAAGCTTGATATGTTGTGGCACGAGCCTACATGAGGCAAGGGTTTTCCAACCCAACGCGGGAAACAAGCGGCACATATTTTGAGGGCTTGTTCAGGCTCCAGCCCCGAATGCCTGGCTTAGAATCCACTGAATTTAATGCGAGAGTACGCGAAGAAAGCTTGCTGTCGGGTAAGGTATTCAACTTTGCCCGAGCTGAAGACAGGGCCTTGTATTAGGCCTTGTATAAAGCGCACACACGCGTGTATATCTATAAGCTGAAGTCCAAACTCCTTAAAGGACGTTATATGGGGGTTAGATAGGGAACTACTATAGGTCTTATTGACAGCGATACTAGGAGTTCAGATTACAGCTCATATGGCCCCTGTTTCGCCTGGGGGTAGTTCCTGTCTGAAATGGTGCGAACTTGTCATGCGATGAGTATGTGATACTCTGGTGATAACCTCGACGTGTGGATTCCCGTCATCCAGGACGCAGAAGAGGACTTCATCAAGCTTGGCTGGAACAGTGACCTGGCGTTCCACGGTTTTCTTAGGTTGTGATTCAGTGTTACAGGTCAAGCTTTGGCTTTTAGTTCCGGGCGTCCAAGGTTGCTGGAAGAAGTGTAAAGAATCTGCCTGGTTGCATACGCCCAGATGGAGCAGAAGTTCACTTCACTGGCTTCAACAGAAATGAGCCCAAGACCCTAAACGTCTAAATCCTGGCCATCGCTTTGATATTGAGGTGCTGTCGGCCTTATCTTCGTATGAGAATCATCTGGATGTTGACACGATGCATCTGCTGAAGGATGCAAACCAAACAAAAGAGCAATACTTAATTACGATTAGGCTTAGCTTGATGACAGTAGCTCGGAAGAATTCGGAAGATGTGAAGAGCGCCGTCGTGTGTCTAATGAGTCATTACAGGCTTGGGGTTTTCCTTCGCCACAAAACCCAAACTCCGCTACGCCTGCGTCCTACACGCGGCGCGGCGTTGCTCATTTGCTGTTGCATTCACGCACTAATTAAACTTTAAACGGTACTGTGATATGGCCATATGGCTAAGGACCTCCGCAACCAGCCATACTATGCCATTGCTATGATTGGCAACAAACACCCATGTGCACGTTGGTGACTCCTACATTTACATGGTTCCTATCCCTATGGCCCTTTGTAGTTTTCTACAGGCGTCGTAAATTGAAACTGTACTTGTGACACTCTTGCATTCAATAGAGCCTGAAGATGAGGAGAATATGTTAGGTGGACCCGCCAGGGTTTATTGCATGTGTTAGGAGGACCTCCACTGTGCAATAGTGATATAATAGGAATACACGAGGACCTTAGTATAATCCTTATTATCCCCTATAGTCACTATTACTGCTGGGAGTCCACGTACATAGTATGCAGGAACAGCAAGGGCCTCCTATTGCAGGGTTTCTCTCACTTCCTCTGCCGAGCTCAGAGGCTCTGATAGAGAACTTGTGGTTTAGGGTTCAGGGTTTGGGGTTTGTAGAAACCTTGTGACCCTGTTCTTGATTATCTCCAAACTTACTCTTGTCAGCAGGGCCCTGGGTGAGGTATCACTACACTCGCAGAAACAGCCGCGCGACAGTCGTGCCGGAAGCAATCCTACATGACGCGATGTGCACTGACTCCCTTGGTGTGGCCGATTGAAATTATAGTTTCCACGCCTAGTATGATATCTCTATGCGCACCTGAACCATGAAAGCTAGACATACCAGATGCGATGAGGCTGTAGGCGTAAGACAAAAGGCCACCTCAGCGCCAACAACCAAGGCGAAGGGGAGGTGGAAGAGGTGACAGAGGACCGTGTCCTTTCCGAAGGGCTTCAGGTTTTAGACCCTGGAATCCAAGTATCCAAGTATGTATCAGGCCTCTACGTATTTACATAGAATAAACCCAGTTGGGGCCCCAAATATGTATTCTAGAGTGCTTAGCATAAGGGCTTTCTCGACCTGGAGTACACCCAGAGACCCAAGGAAAATGCGGAGATTTCATGGGGGTGATGGGGTCACCTTTGGCAAGCCTCCCCTAATTCGACCCTGGGAGTGATATTGCAAGGTGTTCTTGAAATGTTAGCCGCGGCGGTCTGTTTTGCAAAGTGTGAGGAAGCAGAGTTAGTGGCTGGTACTTGGCGCTATAAGGCCATCCGCGCCGACTTCCTTCGCCTTCTGGTGGAGAGAACTGTCACAGTAGTTGCACGGGAATTAGGGCAGACAAGGCGAGAGGACAGATATGGCTTCAGGAATCCAATCCGCCTTTTCCTTGCTTGCGGCTTTGTGTCTCCTTGGGCCGTACGCCCTAAAAACACCGCACGAGTCTTCCTTGCTACACGGATCCTCTTCGGACTTCCACAGGAAGAAATCCGTGAGGAGAGCCCCATTGTCTCAGATGAAGCTAGAGCTTTTGAATGTAAACAGATCTTGCTAGGATTCCCGTGAGTTTTTTGCTGTGGAACCTCCCAAATGCCAGGACTTTGGCTTCCAAAAGGTGGACAGTGCTTGTTGAGTTCCTACAAATGGTGCAAGGGCGGCGGTAGTGCCTGATCCCGCTTTTCAGTATCATTTTTTGGCCGGGGCTTGAAGATTCAGATTTTCAGAAGTGTTAGTTTCAAGGTTGAGGGTGCGCGGTTGTGGATGTAGGGTTTCGATTTTGCTTTTCAATGAATGTACAAAGTGTGAGTTTGTGCAGAGTGCTTGTAAAGCACAATCCACTAAAGTGTAGGTAATTGATATTACGGGTACCGAGATGGCATTTTCGAATAATCCGAGGCTTTGTCTGGACATTTCTATTGTTTCAGGCTCTAATGGTCTCATGGCCTGCAAGAAGATGGAGCCGCGTGCCCATGGCTTAGGTACCACACGATTCAGGAAGGGATCCCGTCCCAGTGTGCTCACCCTGGATTGACTTTGCCATGGTCAGCTCAACTGCATATGATGCTTGATGTCTGGAGACGGGAAAACCACAAACATGTGCAGAAGGAAGACCTTAGACTTTGTTTTAGCTTTGCTTCCTGGCCTTCCAAAACATTCAGCTGCAGGTGAAGCTCAGTCTTCTTTGAACGCGCGAGTGAACGGGGCCATCTGGCCGGCGAGATGGCGGAAAGGTGTTGGAGTGTGCAGAATTTCTCACCTGTTCTTAGCGCTGCGTTCAAAGTCTTCCGCTTCCCTCCCAGAGGGGTTCTAAACGCATCCTGTAACAGATCTGCGTATCTTGTCTGATCATATCACGAGTGCATGAATAAGTGCGGAAGCCTACCGCAGCCGCCACTTCGAAATTACTGGGGGCTCGACCTTTTGAAGTCCCAAAGTCGCACGTTCCCGCCTTAGAGTCCACTGTCTCACGACATTAGTTATCATGTGGTTTCTATATGGTAGAATAGCATGCGTAATCAGTTCCCTCCAGTCGTAGTAGCCTTTGCGGCGTGACCTGTATGAACACCAAATGTACGCAGAGACGGAGCACAAGCTTTTGACGCTGAGTATCGGCATGCTGCAGCGCAGCTCCAATCCTCCGGACGAGGGGTTAATTTTCACCCCCATTCCCGAAGTGTCAGGCACCTGTGGCGGCTTGTCACAGTGAGGGCTCCACTTCTGAGGTTCGTTGGTTTTGGGGTATGAGACATGATGGGTTCTTCCGTTCCTGCTGTTTGTGGGTTCTGCACGGACAAGACATCCTAGCGTTCTGAGGGGCAGGACAGAATGGGGGTCATTGCATGAACAAGATCTGTGGGAGTTTGTAGCAGATATTTGAGGCTTTGTACTGAGCAGTAATATTTGGTTTCGAAACATTCTTCTTCTGTTGTGGGGAGGGGGGCTAATTGAATCATTGAATGTAGGGTACAAAGCAGGACAGCAGCTTCAAGAACTTGGAGAGATTCCCAGAGGCAGTTTGGGGTCAATGTCGGGTCTGCGTAGTGGAAGCGGCTGTAAGGCTTTTGAGTTTGAGAGAAAGCATAGCACCACCACATCAATGCCTGAACCCTTCGGTATCAGCTTCATGTAAATTCACGAGCTCATGGAAGTTGGATTGGTCTGGACTCCTTGGGCTGCACCTCCAGCGCATAGCCTTGTAGGATATTGAGGGATATGCCGAATTTCATCCACATGCTTCTTGTGAGCCTGCAGATTGCAGCTTGTGCTGGATGCTGCAATCTGCATCCCCCATCGTTAAAACCTATAAGCCCCAGAGCCAATTGGCATTCCAAGTCTCCTGAAGATGGACTCCCTCAACCCCTAAACCCTTGCCATGATCCCTTTCCGTATCGCTTCAAGGGAAACTACTAGAGTATATTGGGGATATATGATATATAGGGATAATGGAAAACTGGAAGCTACTATGTAGGGTTTAGGGTAGTTCAAGGTAACCCCCTGCGGGACTTAGAAGTTATCCCCATTAACATGCTGGCTGCCTAGAGTTGCAAGATCCCATAGTGCTATGCAAGGACGCAGGCTTGGGCTGAGGCCATTCTTGGCGAGGCTTTCCAAACATGCGGTTTGGGGTGTAGGGTTGCACACATTAGCCATGGAAGTCCGACTGGTGCAAAATTCGCTGCTGTGTTTACGACGGCATCTCCCAAAGGGCAACGTACAGGTGCCTGGGACCACGCACCAAAAGAAGGGGCATGCTTGAAGTAGCTTCCTGCTTGTCGGTTTTTTAGCACGGAGTGGAGAACTGGATCCCCATAGTTAGCCCCTATAATCTCCAAGAATATGGTAGTATTTGTTTTTCCCCCGCTCCTTTCCTTTCATTCCCTGCCCGTCATCATTGCGCCCTACTTGACGGCATCTGGCAGTTGCTGAACAAGCTGCTAAGGATATACAGAATGCCAATGCAAACAGGCTTCCATTAGGCTGCTATACAGGGTTTTGCTGGGCATCATCTGTCCAAATGGACTTTGATCGAGAAGCCACATTCGGATTGTTACTATTGCTACGGTATCGCATGACTGTTTCTTTTATTGCTGTAACAACTGCCATTGTTACTACCGGTACTACTAACCTGTCACTGTTCTTAAGGGAATTGACTTTGTGGGGTTGAAGTCAGGTGTAGAAAGATGACGCGGACTTTAAAAGTATGAATTTAGGTTTAGGATACGTAGGTATTTTATAAGGCCCTCCTTCATTGCGCTACCCCCACTCCAACCTCGTGGGCTAAGAGATTGCAGTTCCAAGCAGGTAGTATTTCTCACGAGGATGGTGTTCTCAATGACTTTGGGGGAATCTCTAATTTAATGGTCATCCGCGGCATACGTCCAAGAAGCCCCCCACCTTATCGCATTGCCGAAGATCCCATCTTGGCCAGCAGGAATTGAGCCTTGGCTTTGCTGAATTCTCAACATGAACAGAGGAAGATGTTCAATCATGCTACCTCCTAGGAACGTTCAGTTCAGGCCTGCAAATAGATCCCGCGCTGCATATGCTGTTCCCATCCTACATGGCAACTGCATAGTTGAAACTTCTGTTTGCACTGAGGCTTTGGCATGTGCATCTCCAAGGATCTAGATGGCGGTATCAGTCCTGTACAGTACTCAAGCACCAGCCACTAAATAGAAATTGCTTCACATCTGCATGGCATGACAAGCAATCCTGCCTATCAACTTCCCATGTGCCACATGTTTAGGAACTCCGTACTTGGACCCGCCAGACCAAGACTTGCTCAAGGCCCCACATCCACCACAAGTGGTTGTTCTGTCGGAGCCACTTAATGACACAGAAAGCGTGGAACTTACCATCATAATGATGACTCCGCCTGCCGCTACCACTACTGCTGCTTCCTTCTTGCTAATACAACAACTACTACTTTACTCGTGGTGGTTGGACCAGGTCCCGATCGGGATAAGGCCGCGCTGTCAGCGCAGATGACACATTGGAGAGATTGCTGCTCGACTCTTTCAGCAAACAACCTATTTTGTTGTTGCAGATACCACAATCGGAAGGCATGCGTAGCAGCAGGATCGGGTTGTCAGTGGCGTACAAATCCGCATAGACACGAGCCGGTCTCTGTGCACATTCTGTGTGCAAGTGTCTGTAGATGTGCTGCGTGCAAGCTTCTACAGCTTCACGGTTTTAGACAAGAGTTGCGTAGCGATGCTAATATGCTTCGATCCCCGCAGCCATCCTGAAACCCCACGACCCCACCGCACCCCACATCTTGAATACTCCCTGCCGCTATATTATACACGATGTACAACTTATCTTTCTGTTTCTTTAGATTTTGCGAGTCAGTAGCACCATTTTTTGTGGTTCCAGTGGTGCTTTCAATTACATTATTACGTGAGCCCTGTGGAACTTACTTGGAAGTGGGGAGGGGGGGGTTCAGGCCTCGAGGTTTTCAGCTTCTGGGCTCCTGAAGGGGTAGGGCTGGCTATTGTGAAACCTCAAGCTTCCGCACAAGCGCGGCTGGCAAGATACCTGAGTCATATGAGATTCCCCTGCACCCGTTGCGATCCCGTTGCTGTTTTGTTGTAGGTTTATGTTAGTGCATCCAGGTCAAACACCACTTTTTTGGAACTGTTTCACCTAGGAAGTCTTTCTTGCCCTTGGGATAAAGTCAGCCGTTGCTGATCGCCAGGCGTCGACAGCCTGCGTGCACTCCTCAGAGTGATTGCCACTGCCGAGGAAATTGGTCGGGCATGAGATGGTGTTGAGGGTCTAGGGTCTTGTTTAGGGTTTAGGGCTTGGACTGGCGCAATTGCATGTGGGATTTTCCAACAGTTTTTTTGGGGAGGCCCCATGGTGAGAACAACACACAACAATATATGGGGGGGTTACAAGATTACCCTTGTTCTTTGGAAACCTGTCTTACACTTTCTGCAGTTGGTGGAACCCAACCCAACCCTTAAACGTAAACCCTAAACCCCAAGCGGTGTGGGCATGTCCTCAGGGCAAGGTGCAACTCTCGCACTAGCGTCCTCTGGATCCAGATGCTCAAAGCAGAGCAACAATGCAACAACCTCTTATCAGTTCCTTGTAAGCCCCAAACCGTAAACCCACATTTGGACGTCTTTCGTCACGCAGACGTCAAAGAACCGTTGCGAAAAACACGTAAACCCAAAGGATGGCTTAGACAAGGAAGGTAAGAATTCAGCGTGTCCAACTCTGGGGCACCTTTCAAGGGAGTTCTTATAATATGAGTCATAGTAAGTATATTAGGGTCTATTTCGGGCACCTCTCTTTCTATGGAAGCCCCCAAATGTCTGCCACAATGAATACTGAAACAAGGCATCTCACGACTAAACCTTATGCCATTCCCCCTTACTGTGTCTATTTTATAGAGGTTTTGTTAAGGGGCTATTGTAACACAGTACAATTCCTGTAACACCCACTGTGGTGAGTGTTACTGTAAGTGGTGATCCAACCTCAACCCTAAATCCTAGACCCTTAGCCCCAAACCCTAAACCCTAAATTATTAAACCCTTAACCCTAAACCCTGAATCCTAAGCCCTAAATTCTAATTGCTAAACCCTAAATCCTAAAGGGCTAGCAAGACTGCCCCTGCAGACCGAG